TTGTTTGTTTGTTTGTTTGTTTGTTTGTTTGTTTGTTTGTTTGTTTGTTTGTTTAAGGAATGCATACTGCATGTGCTTGATATGTTTGTCCCTAGCAGGCAGGGAAGATGCGGTCGAGTGAGGGAGCTTTGGTTCTCGAGAGGTCGAATGACTAGTTAAGAGGAAGAAGGATGCTTTTATAAGGTTTAGGAAACAAGGATCGAAAAAGCTCTAGAGGGATACAAGCTAGCCAGGAAGGAGCTGAAGAAAGACTTAGGAGAGCTATAAGGGGGCATGAGAAAACCTTGGCAGATAGGATCAAGGAAAACCCCAAGGCTTTTTACGTGCATGTGAGGAATAAGAGAATGACCAGAGAAAGGGTAGCTGCCGATCAAGGATTGTAAAGGGAATTTGTGCACGGAGCCTAAAAAGATAGGAGAGGTCCTTAATGAATACTTTTCTTCGGTATTCACAACTGAGATGGACCTAGTTGTAGGGGAGGACAGTGTGAAACAGGCTGGTAGGCTAGAGGAGGTGGATGTTAGTAAGGAAGATGTACTATGAATTTTGAGGAACTTGAAGATAGAGAAGTCCCCTGGGCCTGATGGGATTTATCCAAGAATTCTATGGGAAGCGAGGGAAGAGATCGCAGGGCCTTTGGCGATGATCTTTTCGTCCTCACTGTCCACGGGTATAGTGCCGGAAGATTGGAGCGTGGCAAACGTCATTCCCTTGTTCAAAAAAGGGAATAGGGATAACTCCGGAAATTACAGGCCAGTTCGTCTTTCTTCACTGATGGGCAAATTATTGGAAAGAGCTTTGAGAGATAGGATTTATGATCACTTGGATCGGCACAGATTGATTCGTAATGGTCAGCATGGATTTGTGAGAAGTTGATCATGCCTCACAAACCTTATTGAATTCTTTGAAGAGGTGACCAAACACATGGATGAAGGTAGAGCAGTGGATGTGGTATACGTGGATTTAAGTAAGGTGTTTGATAAGGTTCCCCATGGTAGGCTCATGCAGAAAGTAAGGAGGCATGGGATAGGGGGAAATGTGGTAGATTGGATTCAGAATTGGCTGACCCTTAGACAAAGGGTGGTAGTGGACGGAAGATATTCAACATGGTTCTCCGTTACAAGTGGTGTACCACAAGGATCTGTTCTGGGTCCTCTTCTATTTGTGATTTTTGTGAATGATTTGGATGTAGGAGTGGAAGGGTGGATTCGTAAGTTCACGGATGATACGAAGGTGGGTCACATTGTGGACAGTGCGGAGGGCTGTTCTAGGTTACAAAAGGATTTTGATAGGATGCAGAGCTGGGCTGAGAAGTTCAGATGGAATTTAACCCTGAAAAGTGTGAGGTGATTCATTTTGGAAGGACCAATTTGAAAGCAGAATACAGGGTTAACGGAAAGATTCTTGGCAGTGTGGAGGAGAAGAGTTCATGTTCGGGGTTCATGTCCACAGTTCCCTGAAAGCCGCCACCCAGGCGGATAGAGTTGTTAAGAAGGCGTATGATGTGTTAGCTTTCATTATTAGAGGGATTGAGTTCAAGAGCTGCGAAGTTGTGCTCCAGCTATACAAAACCCTGGTTCAGCCACATCTGGAGTATTGTGTCCAGTTCTGATCGCATCATTACAGGAAAGATGTGGAAGCATTGGAAAAGGTGCAGAGGAGATTTGCCAGGATGTTGCCTGGAATGGAGGGAAGGTCCTACAAGGAAAGGTTGAGAGAGCTAGGGCTTTCCTCTTTAGAACGACAAAAGATGAGAGGTGACTTGATAGAGGTGTACAAAATGATCAGAGGTATAGTTAGAGTGGGCAGCCAGAGACTTTTTCCTCGGGTGGAGGTAGCTATTACGAGGGAGTATAGTTTTTAAGTGAGTGGAGGTAGATATAGGGGAGACGTCAGAGATAGGTTCTTTACTCAGAGTGGTAGGGGCGTGGAATGCATTGCCGGAGAGGGTAGTGGAGTCGGCCTCATTAGGGGCATTTAAGCAGCGATTAGTTAGGCATGTGGAGGTTAGATAGACCTTAGATTTAGCGTAAAAGTTGTGCACAACATTGTGGGCCGAAGGGCCTGTACTGTTCTATGTTCTATTGTAACTGGAAAGTGACATCATTGTAAATCCTGTGAAGGATGGTGTTAAGCAAGGGCTACCTTAAAAGAGTTGCCACATCTGAAGAAGAAAGATAATGAGAGTGACATTAGAGTTAAATGCATAAGGTTCTGTACGTACATTGATTACCACACCCCCCGCCCCAAAAAAAACCTGTTAAAACATGCACAAAGGTCTCGGCATTTTTAAAAGAAATAATCGATTGGCCAGCTGTGATCTGCAGTAACTATTATCATGAGTAGGTCTGATTTGGAATTCAAATAGTGATATATCTGTGAATTTTTTTCCCCATTAATTTGTGGGTGTCGCTGGCTGGCCAGCACTTCTTGCCCATTCCGAGTTGTCCTTGAGAAGTTGGTGGTGAGCTGCTGCCTTGAACTGCTGCAGTCCACCACTTAGGTTGACCCACAATGCTATTAGGGACGAATTCCAGGATTTTGTCAAATCGGCAGTGAAGAAACGCCGATATATTTCCAAGTCAGGATGATGAGTTGCTTGGAGTGGAGCTTGGAGGTGGTGGTGTTCCCATATGTCTGCTGCCCTTGTCCTTTTAGATGGAAGTGGTCATGGGTTTGGAAGGTGCTGTCTGAGGATCTTTGATGAATATCTGCAGTGCATCTTGTAGATAGTACATGCTGCTGCTACTGAGCGTCAGTGGTGGAGGGAGTGGATGCTTGTGGATGTATTGCCAATTAAGTAGGCTGCTTTGTCCCGGATGATGTCAAGCTTCTGGAGTGTTGTTGGGGCTGCATTCATCCAGGCAAGTGGGGAGTATTCCATCACACTCCTGACTTGAGCCTTGTAGATGGTGAACAGGCTTTGAGGAGTCAGGAGATGAGTTACTGTCCGCAGTGTTCCTAGCTTCTAGCCTGCTCTTGTAATCAGTGTGTTTATGCAATGAGTCTAGTTGAGTCTCTGGTTAATGATAACCCCCAGGATGTTGATGGTGGGGGATTCAGTGATGGTAACACTGTTGAATGTCAAGGGATGGTTGTTAGATTGTCTCTGTCTCTTATTTGTGGTGAGCATAAACTGGCATTGGTGAGGTGCAAATGTCACTTGTCACTTGCCACTTGTCAGCCCAATCCTGGATATTGTCCAGATCCTGTTGCATTTGGACACGGACTGTTTTAGTGTCTGAGTCGTTGCAAATGGTGCTGAACATTGTGCAATCATTGGCAAACATCCCCACTTCCAACCTTATGATGAAGGGAATGTCATTGACGAAGCAGTTGAAGGTGGTTGGGCCAAGAACACTACCCTGAGGAACTCCTGCAGAGATATCCTGGTGCTGAGATGATTGACCTCCAACAACCACGTCCATCTTCCTACTTGTCAAGTATGACTCCAACCACCAGAGCATTTGCCCCCAGATACTCGATGCCAGTTTTGCTGTGGCTCCTTGATGCCACACTCTGTCGAATGCACCCTTGATATCAAGGGCTGCCACTCTCACCTCACCGCTGGAATTCAGCTCTTTTGTCCATGTTTGAACCAAGGCTGTAATGAGGTCAGGAGCTGAGTGGTCTTGGCAGAACCCAAACTGGGTGTCACTGAGCAGGTTATTGCTGAGTAGATGCTGCATGATATCACTGTTGAATACACCTTCCATCATTTTACTGATGTTCGAGAGTAGACTGATGGGGCGGTAATTGGCCGGATTAGATTTGTCCTGCTTTTTGTGTATAGGACATACTTGGGCAATTTTCCACATTGTTGGGTAGATGCCAGTGTTGTAACTGTACTGGAACAGCTTGGCTAGGGGAGTGGCAAGTTCTGGAGCACAAGTCTTCAGTACTATTGCCGGAATGTTGTCAAGGCCTGTAGCCTTTGCAGTATCCTGTGCCTCCAGCTGTTTCTTGATATCACGTGGAGTGAATCGAATTGGCTGAAAACTGGTATCTGTAATGCTGGGGACCATTGGAGGAGCATGAGATGGATCATCCACTTGGCACTTCTGGCTGAAGATTGCTGTGAATGCTTCAGCCTTAACATTTACATTGATGTGGTGGGCTCTTCCATCATTGAGGATGGGGATATTTGTGGAGCCTCTTCCTCTGTGAGTTGTTTAATTATCCACCACCATTCACGATTGGATGTGGCAGAACTACAGATCTTAGAACGGCTACATCACTTAGCTCTGTCTATCACTTGCTGCTTTCGCTGTTCGGCATACAAGTAGTCCTGTTTTGGTGGCTTCACCTCATCTTTAGGTATGTCTGGTGCATGCCCTCCTGCACTCTCCATTGAACCAGGGTTGATCCCCTGGCTTGATGGTAACAGTTGAGTGGAGGATATGCCTGGCCATGAGATTACAGATTGTGCTGGAGTATAACTCTGTTATACAACTCTGCTGTTGATGGCCCAGAGTGCCTCATGGATGCCCAGTCTTGAGTTGCTAGATCTGTGTGAAGTCTGTCCCATTTAACACGGTGATAGTGCCACACAACACGATGGAAGTCATTCTCACTGTGAAGCTGGGACTTGGTCTCCACAAGGACTGTGCGATGGTCACTCTTTCTGATACTGTCATGGACAGATGCAATTGCAGCTGGCAGATTGTTAAGGCTGAGGTCAAGTATGTTTTTCTCTCCCTTGTTGGTTCCCTCACCACCTGCCGCAGACCCAGTCTAGCAGCTACGTTCTTTAGGACCCGACCAGCTCGATCAGTAGTACTGCTGCTGAGCCACTTTGGTGGTGGACATTGAAATCCCCCATCCAGAGTACATTTTGTGCCCTTGCCATTCTCAGTGCATCCTCCAAGTGTTGTTCAAAATTGAAGAATACTGATTCGTCAGCCGAGGGAGGACGGTATGTGGTAATCAGCAGGACGTTTCCTTGTCCATGTTTAACCTGAAGCCACTAGACTTCATGGGGTCCGGAGTCAATGTTGAGGACTCCTAGAGCAACACCCCCCGACAACTGTATACCACTGTGCTGGGTCTGTCCTGCTGGTGAGACATGGTATATCCAGGGATGATGATGATGATGGTGTTGTCTGGGACATGGTCATACTCATAGAATCATACCTTACAGACAATGTCAGGCTGTTGCTTAACTAGTCTGTGAGACGGCTCTCCCAAGTTTGACACTAACCCGATGTTAGTGAGAAGGACTTGCAGGGTTGACAGGGCTGTTTCTGCCATTCTTTTCCAGTGCCTAGGTCGATGCCAGGTGATCTGTCCAGTTTCATTTCTTTGAGACTTTGTAACAATTGGTACAACTGAGTGGCTTCCTAGGCCATTTCAGAGGGCAATTGAGAGTCAATCACATTGCTGGGAGTCTGGAGTCGCATGTAGGCCAGACCAGGTAAGGATGGCAGATTTCCTTCCCTGAAGGATATTCGTGAACCAGATGGGTTTTGCCCGACAATCGGCAATGATTTCATGGTGATTAGTAGGTCCTTAAGTCCAGATTTTTTTAAATTATTGAATTCAAATTCCACCATCTGCTGCGGTGGGATTCAAACCCAGGTCCCCAGAACAGTAGCTGGCTTTCTGGATTCATAGTCTAGCGATTAATGCCACTAGTCCATCACCTAACAGTTATCTGTAGATTTTAATCTAATGAAATGAAATCAGTTGTAGCTTGTGTGGTTGGTGTCAAACAGAGATTTGTATAATCAAAGCCATTAGTTTAAGCTTACAATATTTAACTTCCTCATAGACTTGAGGCATGCAAGGATGAACAGTGTATTTACATTAATATAAAAAGATACATCCATATAACTTGGTTATATTATCAAAAACTAGGAAGGGGTTGTCAAATATTTTCTTTGACCCAAATTTGTTTCCTTAATTTAAGGCAAACCTGCGTCAAGCAGCTCTGAAGCATGTCGCTTCTGTGGATCAAGAAACGGAACAGAGTTATCAGCAGTGGGCAGTGTATGCTCTGATACAGATTGCCAAGTGAGTAAAATTAAGTCTGCTACAGAACGTTTGTCAAACACAGTTTAAATAATTGGCCCGCACAATGTGTGTTGGTTTTTTCCCTCCAAAAATATTTGTTCTCATAGTAACGTGTGTTTATTTTAATAATTTTAAACCAGGAATATGCTAAGACTGCCTGTGGAAAAACCCATTCCTGTGGTCATCCCTGTGGTGGAGTTAAAGGCGAAGAACATTGTTTACCTTGTTTACATGGATGTGACAAAAACGCAATATGTCTTAAACAAGATGCTGATGATATGTGTATGATCTGCTTTACTGAGGCACTTTCAGCAGCTCCTGCAGTTCAGGTAAACCACATTATTTGTGGAGGTTAATTTCTTTTTGTTGTGTAGTCGCTTCAAAATAAATGTTATTTATTTAGAGACTCAGTTGCACGTGATTTTTTTTTAAAATTCTTGTTAATAAAACTTTTCAGTAAAATATAATAGTATGGAGCTGGAGCAACACAGCAGGCCAGGCAGCATCAGAGGAGCAGGAAAGTTGACATTTCAGGACCCTTCTTACAGAAATTCTGTAAGATAAATAGCAGCCTCTTTGTAATTTTTGCAAAATAATGTCACATTTTGGAAAACAACTAGAAAATATCTGTTAATCTTGAGCTTATCAAAAACTCTGCTGACTGGTCTTAGCTGACACATCATATTCTTCCAGTCCTGTTTCCTCCCAGTTTGGTAGCATCTTGATTTTTAGAATTCTGTTTTGTTATGTTCAGTGCCCTCTGTGATCATCCCACAACTTTAACAATCTTCAGAAATATTTGCGTTCCTCCAGTCTGGCTGTTTTTCTCATCACAATTTTCATCTCTTTACTATTGACAACATACTTTCAGCTCTGGATTTCTCACCTTAAACCTTGCTGACTCCCCACCTTTCCAATTTTCTGAGCACTTCTAAAACATCTTTGTCTAAGCTATGGTTACTTATATGCCATCATGTGTCATTGATGTCAAATTTTATTCCATAATGTTTCTGCAACGTGTCTTGAAGCAATTTTACTGTATTAAAAAGCAATATAAATGCAGATTATTTCCACTGATTATTGTTCAGCAATAAAAATTACTCTTCATTGGATCAGGTTGACGTCTGCACCTTCTGTCAGCATAGCAGCGAGATCGACATGCTACTGTTTATAACAGGCTCATTTTTGACTATCAACGGTGTCCTAAGATTTAATACAACCCTTTTAGCTCACTATTAAGCTTTTAGTGTTTACTCGTACAAGTCTGATTCATATATTCTTGCGTGATTGCAATCATTTTATGCTGTTTTACTAGAGGAAGCCTTGTTTATTTTAAAGTTCTAAGGTTTGCAAATGTCCAAATATAATATCATTAACTCGTGCTTTCCCTCTTTTTAAAGTTGGACTGTAGTCATGTTTTCCATCTACACTGCTGTAGAAGAGTTCTTGAAAATCAGTGGCTTGGCCCAAGAATAACTTTTGGCTTTATGGCATGCCCTATATGCAAGGTGAGAATCCTTCAGATTGATTTCCTTTAAATTCTGGATTAGCCTTTGTGGCACGGGTTTCAATACTTGAGAATTTGAGAAAAACTTCAGATTTTGTGTAATTCCAGAACAAAATAAATCATCTAGTGTTAAAAGATCAACTTGATCCTATCAAAGACCTCTATGAAGATGTAAGGAAGAAGGCTCTAATGAGACTAGAATATGAAGGTTTGCATAAAAGTGATGCCATCACTACTCCAGGTGTCCGTTTTCACAATGATCCTGCTGGATTTGCAATGAATAGATACGCTTACTATGTCTGCTATAAGTGTAAAAAGGTAGGTTCATATTTTAACAAATCCTTTTTAGCTGATGAATAGTGATTTGATTTTGCCTTTTTGGTTGAAATGGAGAGTATGCCTGATTGTATTATTTTCAGAAAAAGGAAACTACTTGGACTTGCTTCATGAATCTCATTAACAATCCTTCATTCTGTTAAAACCAGAAAAGGGTGTACCATCATTTCTTAAAATTCTCGGGAGATGAGGAAGGGGTATCAGTGGGTTGGAGAGAAAGATGAACCAGGAAACTTGTATTCTAATGTAACAAGGATAGACCCAGCAAAGAACTTGTCTGTTTGGATGCTGTTATCTTGAATAATTTTTGAATATCATTTAACCTCATTCAGACTCTTCTTTTTTTTTTAAAACTCCAAGATTGGACAACTGATCCACACTAAATATATATGTAAAAATTAATGCACATAATCTAAATGTCACAGTTTTCTTTATCACTTTTATCAGCAACTGATTTTACTGGAATTCGTAGTTTAGTCTTTGAGTCTGGTGAGAATTCTGTAGTAGCTCTTCAGAAACTACACTGATTTGGGGGATTTTTTCCTATTTCACACTTTGGCCTTGTCAGTGTTTCAAGCAAACTATTAATGAAACTAGCAACATGATTAAAATTGACAGTGCAATTTGCACAAAACAAATTCTAAGCTATTTCACAGACTTGGCAACATGTTTTGCAAAGCCTCAGGTTTGTTGGCATCCTCAAGCAAAAGTTATACAATCATGTCGAAAGCTGTATAAAGAGTTAGAATGCTTTCGGGGTTGAACACATTGTGTCTTCAAGATGCAGGCTTTTCACTCAAAACTGTATTCACTGAAGTGGCACTTGATAACCGTATACTTTCACAACGTTAATACAACCGGTTCCAAAAATAATTCTTCTCTGTCATGTAGGCTTATTTTGGTGGTGAAGCAAGATGTGATGCTGAAGCAGGGCAAGGCGATGACTATGACCCACGGGAATTGATCTGTGGTGCTTGTTCAGATGTCTCTAGAGCACAGGTATTCCTTGTTTACTTCTTCTGAGGGGTTTCTTAATAATGTTATCATTTAGTTGTTCATGTTGTTTGCAAGTTAATTTGTTAGAAATTCCGTGGAATAAATGCATTGTCTGTCACTTAGTGAGATGTTTTTAAAAGGATAAATAGAATTTTGCTTGATTTATTGTCTGTGATGAAGTGGTGGTGGTTGGTGTGGAACAGAAGCTATAATACAGTACAAGCTCCCCTCAACTACAGGGCTGTTTTTAGTAAGGTTAACACACTACATCCTAGAAGTTTGGTTAAAAGCACCACAATGAGGCCTAAGAGCAGATAACCACCACCACCACCCCCTACTTCACCTTGTAAAACCATAGAGTCAAAAGATCTTTAATTTTCAAAAAAGCATAGATGTTATATGTGTGTTTATATCTCAATGCTAGTAACAATCAAATAAATAAATTGAAATATACAATTTTCAGTTTGCTAAAAATGTTTTGTTAGTATCCTGAAGTTACATGTTGATAATCCTTGACAGATGTGTCCCAAACATGGTACAGACTTCCTGGAGTACAAATGTCGGTATTGCTGCTCTGTGGCAGTGTTTTTTTGCTTTGGAACAACACATTTCTGTAATGCTTGCCATGACGACTTCCAGAGGATGACAAGTATTCCTAAAGAAGAACTTCCCCGTTGTCCTGCAGGTATCTTATTTGTTCTTATCTGTTTAGAATAACTGGTTGCTCCACGACATAAGATGTTTTAATTCCTGTTATTAAAACAATATCTGACTTTTGGTCTCCTGGATTAGGTTTTAAAAATTTGTCCCAAGTTGTAGCGCAACATATTCACAGAGAAAAACAGACTATTTTGCACATTATACCTTGCTTATCCTCAACATGGGCTTCCCCCAAACCCCCTCCTCTTCTGATCCCATTAATTTATACTGTTCTTTTCACCATCATGTGCTTCTCTAGCCTCTCAATTGCATTTATCTATTCTATTCACTTAAACTGCATCTTGTGATAGTGAGCTGTGCACAGTCCAACAATTCTCTGAGGAATATTGTTTTTCCTGAATTCCCTATCATGTTCGCAAGTTAATTGTATTTGACTCCTGAGTGGGTGTGAATGGAAGCGTTATCTTTTACCATGAAACCCATTGAAGATCTTCATCAGGCCATTCCCCCTCAGTCTTTTCCAGAATGGAGATACAACCAGTTTTGTCTTTTCTGACGAATATAATCAGTTTTGGTACAATTCTGCAGATAATGTTTGCACCTTCTCCAATGCTTCTGTCATTTTATACAATTTTAAAACCAGAAATGTTCAGTTATCCAACTGTGGTCCAATCAAGGTTCTGTATCAGTTTAACATGACATTTTTACTTTTCAATTCTGTCCCTCTAGAAATGATCTCCAGTGTTTTGTTTGTTTTTTTTTAAATGGCTGCATTCACTTGCAGTTTTCAGTCAAGTCATAGAGCAGCTTTTGAAAATGCCCCATCTACTCCCCCCTTCCTCCCAGCCAGCCCAAGTTAAAGGAGACAGATTGTGGTAAGGTTCCATGTTCCTGTTTGCTGAGAAATGACTTACTGGAAATGCATGCAAGGACAGAGTCAAGTTTAGCAAGAACAATAATCAATCCTTTACAACTGTGTTGCAAGAAAAATGGGATACCAGGGACCTATTGGTCCCTGTCTGTTCATACTAAAGTATCACTCACTAAGAAGGCAAAAATTAGAGCAGATTTCAGAGGTAGCGATCAGTCTGTGATATGTCGGCATATTGCATTTCTTGGTACTCAACTATGACCCAAAAGTCTTGTGCTTTCCAGAAAATTTGTCATTTCTCTTAATTTGCTTACTCTGTCCCATTTAACTTTATGGAAAATACTGAAAATTGAGTTCTGTGATTTTTACTGTTCAAGTGAGAGACTTGGATAATGAACAAAAATTCAGGTTGTGAAGTCATGGTAGACAACATTGAGTTAATTAAGTGATTCCCACAGTTGGGTTTTCTGACCCTATAGGTGATAGAAAGAAAGGAAGGGACAACTGGAAGAAGCAAAACGTCCCTGACAAGCAGGAAAGGGGTGTTTAAGTAAATGTTGCAGAGAGAAGCAACTCGAGGACAAGGCATTGTCAACTTAGAAAGAATGAGGAAAAAAAATTCAGAGGGTTAGTGATTGTAAGTATAAATTAAAGAAAAATGGACGAATTAATTGCAGTGGAGGGAATGTTGAAAAGATAGAGATGAGGTGGTATTGCATACCTGGTCCAAGCATATTAGAGATATCAAAACTGTAGCTTTAATTATCAGATTGTAGTTTGTAGTTTGGCAAAAATGATTATTTACCTGACTCTCTACTGCATTTTATCCACTCTTTTCTCTAGGTCCAAAAGGAAAACAGCTTGAGGGAGCAGAGTGTCCTCTTCATGTTGTCCACCCAGCCACTGGTGAGGAATTTGCTTTGGGCTGTGGTGTTTGCAGAAATGCTCACACATTCTAAGTATGCAGCAGTGATGCTCCTTCGCATTTTCCAGCCTTTTAAATCTTTTCAGTTTCTGAACTGAAGTCAGTAACTTGGATTGGCGCACTATCATTTGAATGAAAGAACAACATGCTGTGCACAGAAAAGAACTTTATTTTTGTGCACGTACTTATTGCTGTAAATGACTCGAGTTTTTCAAAAGGCTTTAAACTTGTGAAGTGTTTGCATGCTGCCGTTACAAACCTCAGCTGTAAGGCATCACACACCTACACGGTACCTTGACAGAAGATGCTTTTTCTAAAAGCGATTGAGATGTATGGACAAGGACAGCTTCCAAATTACAAAATTGAAGAATTGCTACAAGTACACAGAGTACGACTTTTGGGTAACCCTGTACAGTATTCTTGGAAGTTGTAACCACGTCATGGTTGAGAGTATATTCTTGTTCATTTGATAGACTGTTGAGGATGTTTTAGGGCTTGTTGTCTATGAATATCATAATGTATATATGGTATCAGTGTTAGGTGTATTACAAAGTTGCTACGTTACACTGCAATTTTCATTTAAACTTCTAAGGGTTATGTTTGAGCCTGAAATTTTAATGAAGTGCAATACTGGGTGTGCCTCCTATCTTGCAGCTGTACACATATGGAATGTATATGTCAATAAAACCGCTGTACATTTTTATACAGTGAAAATGTTGTGTGAATGGGAAATCATTCAGCCACATAATGTGAGTGTATATATAGGCTTTGTGAAATGGGCAAAAATACCATTTGAGTTTTAGTAAGAAACAGGAGTTGAATCATTATTTGGAAAGAGTGCTTTGCGCAAATAATGTGTTCACTTCTGCGAAGCAAGACCAGCAAACCTTTAGTAATTGCTTTCATGTTCTGGGGGCAGTAGAATTTCTCTCTTCTAAAGTAAATCAGAGCATATATCTTTGCACGGTTGCCTCAAAGCAACCTCCATCTCTGATAAGGAAAAATATCAGGCTTGATCTGTTTGTCATATAAGTTTCAAAGTTTTTTTTTAAGATTGCAGTGATTAGATTTGCCATGTGTGCTGTAAACTTACCATATACAAGTAGGACTTTTGCTTAGACAAAACATGTTTATTAAAGTACTAAACAGTGCATCTCAATGTCCCTTCGTTATCATTATACATATTACAATGACAAAGTAGGTATTTCTCCAAACAAATCATTCATGTTCTTTTTGGCAATACAAAAGTCTTGGTTATTTACAGAAATCAATGCATATAGGCCAATACACGTCCTGAAATTTGCTGTAATAATGACCAACAGCTAATGTAAAATCCATCCTTCCTATTTAGTGGAGCATTGTTTCTGCTTTTTCCAACCATTGTTGGTCGCTAATTTCGATGTATTCGCTGTGTGGGGCACTTGCAAGTTTTCAAACATGAACTGAAACTAAAACAGCCTAAATTCTTTTAGCACGCATATTTACAACATCCTTAGTTGTGATCAAATGATGAAGTCAAGCCAACACATATGTAAATAATCCTGAATACAAAAAAGGAACCACTTTTTGTATCTGAAGAATTATTTAACTGAGAAACCTAAAAGTTGATCCTGAAACTGGGATTTAAATTGTACTGCAGATGAATCATGGGCTGGGAAACGCTTAAAAATACTTGCATTTGAATAAAATACTAAATATAACTGAAGAGTTTCTCAAATGTATTTTGGAAGAAACTACTTTATAATCCTGTTTAAGATTTGAGTGTACAGCATTTGAGAGCTATTTGTTTAATTTGAGGGACTGTGCTTCTGCAAGTGAGGAATAATGGCAAAAGATTTGCACATACATGGTAAGAGCTTGTTAACATTGCACTGTATGTGTGTTGTTTAATAGCATACTGGATGTTAAACACATTATCCATTATTTAAAACCTATCTCCCAAGTTAGTAAACTGGATCAAGGAACAGTCACAGGTAAGCAATGGACCATTGCTCTGGATAGTATATCCATCATATTCCTCAGCTTTTTGTCAGTCGTGCTCTAAACAGGCAAAAAAAAAAAGTGTAAATTCTAAGTGTGCTCGGCTAATGTTCGAATTAGTATTGCGGTTAACATTGTGAATTTATTTCAACCCAACTATGATATTCTAGGTGGTTTAGGTTCAATTGCAGTGTCACTTAAATGGGGAAAAGGTACTGTTGATACTGTGCAGTAATTTATTGAATATTATGTTGATATACACGAGTTAAAATTTCTAATTTTATTCAGTAATATCACACCACAAGTCAGCTTGACATTTATCAACTGTTGTTATCACTGACAAAAAACTCAGGATTGCCTAATCTACATTGGTATGATTCAGCATTGCCTTGGGATCGGAAGAATGTCTTGTGATTAATGATACTTTTTCAAACCTTCAGGATTTATTGCAAATTGTTATTCTACATGATGCTTTACCCTGGAACTTCCATTAGGTCCTATTAGGTTTTTATGGTATATTTCACCCACCATCAACTGAAACTGTTCAGGAAATTTAAGGTGCAAATTGCATCTAGCACAAATCATGTTTCCATAATCTTTTGTGCTAGCCATTTTCCTTTCAATTGCAAAGCACTATATTGTTGGGTTGGAGTAGTTTCAATAACTCCTTTAGACTGTTAGGTATAAAAACTAACTTTATTCTATTTACAATTATAGAATACTCCATATGGCTACTTTCCATGCTTCTACTCTTGCACTGTCAATCTGAGAATCTGTCAGTTCCTTCTATAACAGACTATTTCAATTACTTCTTTGTGGGACATTACACGTTTTCTGACATTATATAAAATGTTATTTAAATTGGCCACTCCCTAAATGAAGATATTCAGTATTGCTAATTTTGCCTCCTTTGTAAAGGTTCTTAAAATGATTTTTTTTCATGGTGCAAAAGTACCAATTAAGCGTTTTTCAAGACTCTTGAATGTTGACTACACCTATGAAACTTAAGTGGTTCTGCACTGTTTAATTCAATCGAAGTTAATTGAAATTGGCAAGCTCACAGTTAGTTGTCTAGAGCTTATCTATAAATACTTCAGAATCTAATTTCAACTGCAACAGGTTATGACTTTTGCCTTAATGATACGACAATATACTTAAACAAAATGAACAATTGCATTCTAAAACATTGCCCGATTGTGCAGGGTCATGAAGATTTTATCTTTGCTGATATGCAAATTTATTTTTTTTCAATTTGTGGGATGTGGGCGTCACTGGCTGGCTAGCATTTATTGCCCGTCCGTAGTTACCTTTTGAGAAGGTGGTGTTGAGTTTGAAGGGAAACTTGAATTTTAAAGAAAATTGGTTCCCTACCAGCATGAAATTGTAGAATCATCCTCTGTACTGTCATATTTCTTCCTTCAAGGAGTAAGATAATTGTTTACATTCAAAATAACACTTTTATTGAATATCTGGCATACTTTGAAATCAGTTGCGCAGAATAGTATGTATCATTTCTTGATGTTATTCATATTATGTTCTTGTATGACTCAAGTTAACAAGTCAGACTGTTAAATTGCAAACAAAAGGGCTAAAATTTGTTAATGAAACTCCATTTGATACTTGCAGCGAATCAGTGGCTGAGATAGAGGATACATGGTTACAGGCAAAGTATCTGATAAAGGCCTAAGTCAGTTGTTATTAGACTTCACATTCTGAAACTAGAAACATTTTGAAAGCTTTCATCCTTGGATTGTTGAGCTATTTCATTTTGTGACCCAAGTGCAGAAAATTATTAATGTTGGTGGAAATTTAGATCTCCATGGTCATTTGTCTGCTGAGCTCCTTGTTGGTCTAGCAAATAATCAGTGTACTGTAAGCCCCTCAATACAACTGGCCAGCAAACACACATGGTGTCAGAAAATTTAGAGCAGTTTGGAAAACCTATGCTTGGACATAGGACACAGTGCCAAGAACTGCGGTTTTTTAGAGTGTCTGTTGCGCAGTCATGGAAATGTAATGTGATAAAAGAAAGATAATTGGTTGATACAATAACTGAATTTCTAGTCAATTTGCTCATAAGACAACCAAAAAAGGGAAAAAAAAAACCTACTGTCGTTCTTGATTAATTTACTTGTTGCAAATATATCTTTCTGACAGTGTTTGTATGAGTGACCACCACTCAGTCCTTGTGAAGGTGATGTCTGATCTTCATTGAGGACACCATGTTGTGTGGTACTACACTTTGTGAAATGGAACAGATTCATAACAGACCTAGCTTCATCGAATGGGAGTTATGAGGTATCGTGCTACAGTCATTGTGTTCACCTACGATCTGTAATCTCATGGACAGCCATTTCCTTCATTCTGTCATTACCATCAAGTCAAAGCCTCATTCTACATTCAATAAAGAGTGTAGGAGGGCAATCCTGGAGCCAAACTAAAGAAACCCATGACTGAGATGCCAACCTAGTGAAGCTACGACACAGGAACTATGTGCATGCTAAGCAGCAGAACCTAAATGCACCCATAAGAAATGAATCAGGTTAAAGCTCTTGAATCTTAGCACATCCAATGATGAATGGCAGTGCACTAATTAAACAACTACTGGAGGAGAAAGCTCTATTAACATCCCTATCTCGATGATGGGGTAGCCCAGGACATCAGAGCAAAAGATGAGGCTGAAGTATTTATAACTACCTTCAGCCAGAAGTGCCCAAGTGGACGATTCAATTCTGCCTCCATCTAATATCCTCAACCTGCAAGATGCCAATCCTCAACCAATTCAATTTACTCCATATTGTATCAAAAAATTGCTCAATGAACTGGATGCAATAAAGACTGTGGGTTCTGACAGCATTGTGACTGTAGCACTGGAGGCTTGTGTTCCAAAACTAGCTGCATTCCTACCCAAGATGTTCTAATACTACTACACAGCTGGCAACTGCTAGATGAAGCAGAAAATTTCCCAGGTAAGTCCTGTCTACATAAAACAGATCATTGAAAGAGCATAGAACACCTATTTCCTGCACTTACCCAGAGTCTCCTTCACGTTTGTACTCTTGAAAATGATTATGAAAATAATCTGGGTGCTAATATTTAAAACTAGGATAGAGAAAGAATTATAAACCTGCCTTAATTAATTGAAATCTAAACCATGGCTATACCAGTGACCCAGAAATCACCATCAATTTTACTGTGCCGTATGCTGCAACTGTTACATTCTAAAACACAATGTAAAAAGTCTCTCCATTGATGTCTTCACATGTAATTAATTCAATCTGGATAATGTATTCTATGCGGGATCGTGTACAGCTTCTTCATAGTGATATTAACTTGCTTTAGAGGCTCCTAAATTGATGATGATGTTTTTTAGGTTTTAGTGTTGAAGTTTAAATGACTGTATAATTAGTTACTGAAATGACCGGGAAACCTGTGAAAATTTTTGTTGTGCTATGCCAGTCAGTAATGCCAGGTTAGAGAACTTTTTTTAAGATCGTGAAAGGCTGCAGAGCGTTCTGTCCTCTTAGCAATTCCCTGAACAGTAGTAACATTGAATAATTAATTTGATAGGCTATGGAGAGATTTGGCAGACTGAACAATATTGAAACCATTGTATATCTATCAAAAGTACAGGCCACTGCTACAATCAGTAGCATATCTGAGCATCCGCATTCTGTCACAGTAAAATTTGTAGACATGGCATTCAAGTTGCCATAGATTCCATCAGTAAAGCTTCCTGACTCTGCTGTTCTATGGGGTTCTGTCCATATTTATGACTGCAAATTATGGTATAGAAAAGATGAGAGCCACTAAGATTGTTTCAGGGGAAGAGATGGTTTCACTATCTAAGCAATCAGAAGCTAGCAGAGAGATGGGCCAGGAGTTTCTTCTAGGCGCTCCATTTGAAAAATGCACATGGGTATGTATGGTGTATGCAGTGATGCAGCCCTTGAACTTCCCCACACATTTATAAAATTATCTAATTGAGCAGTTATTGACTGGAACCTCAAGACTGCAGATTTAAGATAGTGTCAATTGATAAGGTATTCAAATAAAAAACAGGGTGATGGATGGTTTCTGTTATAGACTCATAGAGATATACAGCATGGAAACAGATCTGTTCATCCAACTAGTCAATGCTGACCAGATATCCTAAATTAATCAAATCCCATTTGCCAGCATTTGTCCTCGAAACGCTTCCTATTCATATATGCATCCAGATGCCTTTTAAATGTTGTAATTGTACCAGCCTCCACCACTTCCTGTAGTAGCTCATTCCATACATGCACACCATCCTCTCTGTGATAAAGTTGCCCCTTAGGTATCTTTAAAATCTTTGCCCTCTCACCTGAAACCTATGCCCTCTCGTGTTGGATTCCTCCACCCCGTGAAAAGACCTTCGCTATTCACCCTATCCATGCTCCTCATGATTTTATAAACCTTTATAAGATCATCCCTCAGACTCTGATGGTCCAGAGAAAATAGCTGCAGCCTATTCAGCCTCTTCCTATAGCAGGGAGACAGGAATTGCACACAGTATTCCAAAAGAGGCCCAACCAATGTCCTGTACAGCTGCAACATGACATCCTAACTCCTACACTCAATGCATTGACCAATAAAGGCAAACATACCAAAAGCCTTCTTCACTAACATATCTACCTGCAACTCTACTTTGAAGGAACTATGAACCTGCACTCCAAGGTCTGTTTGTTCAGCAGTACTCCCTAGGATCTTACCATTAAGTGCAGCACATCTCATTTATCTCAGTTAAACTCAATCTGCATTCCTCACCCAATTTGCCCATCAGGTCACAGTCCTGTTATACTCTGAGGTAACCTCCTTCACTGTCCAATGCACCCATTTTGGTGTCACCTGCAAACTTACTAACCCTACCTCCTATGTTCACATCCAAATCGTTTATATCAATGACAAAAAGCAATAGACCCTTGATTGACTGACTGATTTTTATTGTCACATGTACCAAAATGCAATGAAAAGCTTTGTTTACAAGCGGTACAGGCAGATCACAGCAAGCAAAGGATGTACAGATAAAAAAAATCTTGGAGGCATACAGGTTACATTGCAGTTACATTATTTGAGGCTAGAGTCCATTCAACGGTTTGATAAGGCTGAAAAGAAGCTGTTCCTGAATCTGCTTGTGCATGTGTCTGTATCTTCTGCCTGACTGAAGAGGTTGTAGGAAGTCATTACAAGAGTGCAATGGGTCTTTGACATTAGTTGCCTTTCTGTGACAGCGAGCCATGTAAATAGAGTCCAGGGATGAAAGGTTGCCTTCCGTAACGGTCTGGACTGTGCACACCACCTTCTGTAGTTTCTTACGGTCCTGGGTAGAGCAGTTGCCTTACCAGGCCATTATGCACCCAGTATGCTTTCAATGCTGCATCTGGAGAAGTTGGTGAGGGACCTTTATGGACGTGCCAAATTTCCCCAGCCGCCTGAGGAAGAAGAGGCATTATTGTGCCTTCATGGTTGTTGCATTTATGTGGGAAGACTAAAACAGGCTGTTGGTTATCGTCACTCCAAGGAACTTGATGCTTTTCACACTCTCAACCTCAGTTCTGATGATTTTAAATGGGGGTGGGTTCTCCTCCTTTCTTTCTGAAGTCAATGATCAGTTCTTTAGTTTTGCTAACATTGAGACATTGTTTCCAATGCACCATGTCACAAAGCCCTCCATCTCCCTTTCTGTATTTTGACTTGTCATTGTTAGATATCCATCCCACCACGGTGGATCATCAGGGAATTTGTAGATGGCGTTCATTTGGAATTTGGCAACACATTCAGAGGTGTACAGGCAGTAGGGGACTGAGGACGCATCTGTGGGGGGCTTCAGTGTTCAGTTATCATGGAGGAGGTTCAGGTACCTATTCTCACTGCGGCCTGTGGGTCAGAAAGCTGAGGGTCCAGTTGCAGAGGGTAGAGCTGAGACCAAGGTCACACAGTTTAGAGATCAGTCTGGAGGGGATAATGGTGTTGACTACCGCTCTGCCTTCAATGAGCAGGAGTCCGACATAGGTGTCTTTGTCCAGATGTTGCAGGGATGAGTGCAGGGCTAGGGATATGGCATCCTCTGTGGACCTGTTATCTGGGTAGGCAAACTGTAGGGTATCGAGGCAGGTTGGGAGACGAGTTGATGTGGGTCGTGACCAGCCACTCTAAGCACTTCATGATTATTGAAGTCAGCTATTGGGTGGTAGTCCTTAAGGCACACTGCATGCGTTTTCTTGGGTACGGGAATGATGGTAGTCTTGAACCAGGTGGGATCTTCGGTTTGTAGGAGGGAGAGGTTGAAGATGTTGGTGAATACCTCTGCTAGTTGGGCCACACAGGACCAGCACCAATCCTTGCGGCACACCACTGCTCACATAACTCCTGTCCAAAAACAACCCTCTGTCTCCTACTTTTGAGGCAATTTTGTATCCAAATAGCTAGCTCTCCCTGTATTCCATGTGCTCTAAGCTTGCTATTCTACCAGGTGGAACCTTGTCAAATACCTTACTGAAGTCCATATAGATAACATCTACTGCTCTGCCTTCATCAGTCGTCGTCTTCATTTCAAAAAAAATTGAATAAAATTAGTGAGACATGATTTCCCATGCACAAAGCCATGTTGATTATCTCTAATCAGTACATGCCTTTCCAAGTACGTATAAATCCTATCCCTCAGAATCCCCTCAAACAGCTTATCCACCCCTGAAGTCAGGCTCACCAGTGTATAGTTCCCTGGCTTTTCCTTACCACCTCTCTTCAATAGTGGCATCGCATTAGCCAACCTTCAGTCTTGTGGCAAGGGATCCAGCAATCACTTCTCTAGCTTCCCTCAAAGATCTGGGGTACACTTGATCAGGTCCTGGGGATTTATCAATCTTTATATGTTTTAAGACATCGAGCAACACCACCTCTGTAATATGGACTGTCATATATATCCCTCTTTATTTTCCCCTAGTTCTCTAGCTTCCATATCCTACTCCACAGTAAACACTGATGCAAAATACTATTTAGTATCTCGCCCATTTCCTGCATTTCCACACATGGACAGCCTTGGTGATCTGTAAGTGGCCCTATTCTCTCCCTAGTTACTCTCTTTGCCCTTAAATGTATTTGTAGAACCTCTTAAGATTCTCTATAACCCTACTTGCCAAAGTTATCTTATGTCCCCTTTTTTCCGTCCTGATTTCCATCTTGAGTATACTCCTACTTCCCTTTATACTCTTCTAGGGAATCACTGTTGTCTATACCTGACATGTGCTTCCTCCTTTTTTCTTGACCAGAGCCCCTCTTTCTCTAGTCATCCAGCGTTCCCTACACCTTGCCCTTCACACTAAAAGGAACGTACTATCTCTGGACTCATTATCTCATTTTTGAAGGGTTCCCACTTTCCAGCCATCCCTTTACCTATGAATATCTGCTCCCAGTCAACTTTTGAAAGTTCTTGCCTAATACCGTCAAAATTGGCCTTCCTCCAGTTTAGAACTTTAACTTTTAGAGCTGATCTGTCGTTTTAACAACTAATAGAATTATGGTCACTGGCCCCAAAATGCTCCCCCACTGACACTTGCCCTGCCTTATTTCCCAAGACAAGGCCAAGTTTTGCTCCTTCTCTGGAAAGCCCGTCCACATACTGAATAAGAAAATTTTCTTGTACGCACTTAACAAATTCCTCTCCAAGCAAGCCCTTAACACTATATGGCAGTCCCAGTCTATGTTTGGAAAATTAAAATCCCCTACTATCACAACCCTATTATTCTTACAAATATCCAAGATCTCCTTATATATTTGTTTCCCAATTTCTCTTGCTGTCTGTTGGAGGCCTAGTGCAGTCCCAATAAGGTGATTGATCATCCCTTTCTTATTTCTTAGCTCCACCCAAATAACAATTGGACCTATCCCTGGAATATCCTCACTCAGCACAGCTGTAATGTTATCCCTAACCAGAAATGCCACTCCC